TTTCTTTTTAATTATTTCCAGGGTTTGATGAAAATACTTTTCTATTCTAGAAATGGTTTTAGGGTTTAATGAAAACACTTTTCTATTCTAGAAAAACAGTTTCATGGTATTCTTGTTCTCTTTTCGAAGTGATGTTAAGCATAGTTTCTCTGCATTTGCAATATTATATAGTAATTACAATTTTTTTTGTTTAAAAAAAAAATGAAAATAATTTTTTGATGTCAATAATTATTTAATAGTGTGAAATTCTTTTTAATTTTCTCCGTAGTTGAAAAATATAAGACAAACTTGAATTGGAATCAGAGTTAATTTATAAATTTGTATTAATTTATTCATCATTGCTCAAAATTCTCTTCTTTTTGTGTGTATAATGTTCCTTGCCCTTTTTTTATTTTTTATTTTATATAGAAATGCCATGTCACTAAATGCTTCATATTCTTTTCAATTGGCAGGCATCAATCTGAATCTGAGTTTATCCAAAACATCATTGAAGAGATTTCAAAACACGTATTAAACCGTGTGCCTTTGGAAGTGGCAGAGCATCCAGTTGGAATGCAACCTCAAAAACAAGTTATGAATAAGCTTTTAGATTTGAGGGAAAATGATGTTCGTATGATAGGGGTATGGGGAACTGGTGGAATTGGTATGACCGCAATTGCTAAAGCTGTTTATAACTCAATTGCCCACAAATTTGAAGGTTGTTCCTTTTTGGCAAACGTTAGAGAAAGGTCAACGTTGCATGAAGGTTCAGTCGGATTACGAGAGAATCTTCTTTCTGACATTCTAAGGGTAAAAAATTTGAAGGTGAATGTTGATAAAGGAGTCACTATGATAAAGGAATGGTTGAGGAGTAGAAAGGTTCTCTTGGTTCTTGATGACGTGGATGACATGGAACAGTTACACAGGTTAGTTGGGGCATGTGATTGGTTTGGTGTAGGTAGTAGAATTATCATAACAACAAGGGATAAGCAACTGTTAACTGCTCATGGTGTTAATTTAATACATGAGGTCAAGATTTTAGATGATGATAAAGCTCTTGAGCTCTTCTGTTGGCATGCCTTCAAAACAAGTGAGCCTCCTTTGGGTAATTATGTGAAACTTGCAGAACGTTCAAAACAAGCCAGCCTCCTTTGGCTTTGAAAGTTCTCGGTTCATGTCTCTGTGGTGGAGATATAGATAAATGGAAAGCTGCATTGGAGGGTTTCAAAAGCCCAAAAGTTCAAGATGTTCTCAAAATAAGTTACAATGCCTTGGATGATATTCAGTGGCGAAGTCAGGATTTCATGTGTGTATGGGCCTCTTACAAATTATAAAGAATCAAAAGTTCGAACTCACAATACATACGAAAAATAGTATATATATCACATATGTCAAGAATTATATTGCTTATTGGTTGCAATCATAATTGTCATCGACAAAAAGATAGACAAATACATTTTAAGCAAGAAAAATTGTAAGAAATAGACAAAGAGCAGCGATTTAGCAAATATCTTTAAAGCTTTTTTCCCCATTAAACCTAATATAAAGAAAAAAATCAAAATTTCACAAACTAAAAAAAACCTTAGGTCCCTTCATGCATTCATATCATATTATCATACATGAAAAAATGTTTTATGTAAAAATATTGACTAAGTATGAAAAATGGTTTTTCAAAATAATCATTTTCTCAAGATAATTTTTGGCGGCTTTTATTCCTTACACATCAAATAAGAAAACTTGATTTTATGGGATTTTAATATAAAGTATATATTGACTTAATGAGCCATCATTTTTAGCCTAAATCGTATTTTGCACTAAAACCGATTTTTCATATTTTGATTTGGTGGGAATTTGATTTTCTAGTATTTTTATTTGAATCCAAATATGGGGTACTTCCTTATTTACTTAAACGCTGAAAATGGAAATAAGATAATCTGTACACTTGGAGTGCACCACCACCAACTGAGCAAAACATAAAGTATTTGAAATAATATACATATAGTAATACATAACAGTATATTACTTTTAAAATATATAAAAACTTGAGTAGGGGCCCGGGACCACACTGGTCCCAGTGTGGCTCCGCCCCTGATGATATTGTCAAGGAGGTTTTCCTTGACATCGCATGTTTCTTTAAGGGTAAAAGTAGAAACTATGTGATAGAAGCTTGTGAGCTAAACACTAGATATGGCATTGATGTACTCATAGAAAAGGCCCTCATAAGTGTTGAAGGAAGTTATATTTAGATGCATGACTTACTAGAAAAGATGGGTAAGGACATAACTGAGCAGGAGTCGCCCACTGAACCCAGAGGACGTAGCATATTGTGGTTCCATAAAGATGTCAAGCATGTTCTGACTAATAATAAAGTAAGTAAATTAAATTATATATCTGAGTGTAAAGTTTTATTTAATTCAATAACTAACACATGTTGTGTGTTAAGTATAATATTTTCTTTTTTATTATAAATACTTTGTAGCACTTAGTACATTTTTCTTTTTTCTATTAGGGAACAAATAAAATCACAGGCATCATGTTAAACTTCCCCAAAAAAAGTTATGAGATATTCTTGGATGTTGGCAGAAGCTTCTCGAAGATGAAAAATCTTAAAATTTTCATGAACTACAACGTATACCTTTCTGGAGACCCTAGTTCTATCCCAAACAATTTGAGAGTGCTTGATTGGAAAAGATGTCCACTTATGCTAGTCTGTCCACTTAAGTATTCCATTTATGAGTCTAGACGTCCTAGTTTTTTACCCTCTTATACGAGTTTTATTTTGACGTGATTTCTATTGTTTATGTCTGTCAGTGACTCAGCATGAGGTTTTTTTTTATCCCAACACTGTTTCTCAATTATGCTTGTATTTGATTGCGGGATCTGAAGTGCTTTGTGTTCTCACTCATCTCTCTCCAATTCAAGATCAAGCCTATATAAGATGCAACAGAGTATCAAGTGTCTGCCAGACAAGTTGCATTCATGGTTGTGTATGTTTTTCCATAGAGTTGACATTTTTACCATGCAAGCCTAATCATTGACAGTTTTTGTAATTTTTGTTGCTTGGATGACTATGAGAGGGGATTTCGGAATGTAAGCGAAAATGGAATGCTACAATTTGCTGCAAAAGCTCTAGATTTTCAGTGCATTGTGTGTGTGTGTGTGTGTTTTGGGGTTGCAGCAGTTGATTGTGCCGTATGTAACCTGCCAGAAAAGAAAGTATTCAAACGGATTTCGTCTTGGGTGTCAAATCGGATTGATACAGTTCTTGAATTTTATAGTATTAACTTGACCATTATGTTTTCTCAACTAAATTTATATATATATTCCTTCGAAGTTTTTTTGGGGTCTGATATCAAAATACCGTAGGTTCTTTGAAATAGTCTCCGTTAAAACATATTAAAATTGCGGTTTTTTTCTTAATAAATAGTACCGCTGAGCGGCTAGCCTCAGGATATTTTTTAATAAAAAAGAGTAACGCCAACCGGCTTTACTACGGTCCTTTTTCGAAATTCCTTTTTACAAATAATACAGCCGTGCGGCTATACACTTTACATAGATAATGTGGTCTCTTTTATATATATATATAATTATTTTTTTCGATTTTTGTTTATCGATTAGAGTGGTTTAGAGCATTATTCATTACTATTAGGCCATTATCCATGTCTCTATTTTCTCCTTTTGAGTTTCTACTTTTCCAAAGTTATTACCCGCATAAAGAATTTAGCATATTCGCGTTTAATACTCGTACTGTATACATAAGTATGTATTTTTCAGGTTTATTACACCTTTTTTTTACAAAATTTTCAATAATACACACAAAATTCACGTATAATACACAAAATACTCACATTTTCTTGAATAAAAATTAAAAAATTTAAATACTAATTATTCGCTAAGTAAATAATAATTAAAACATAACTACTAATTAAAGCAATTAAAAAAGCGACTCATTCAATGGGTATAGCCGCACGGCTATACTTAAAAAAATTATATTCATAGAGCACCGTCGGCGGCTATACCATTGAAATACTCTATTTATAGAGTATCGCCGCCCAGCTATACTCTTTGCACAAAACACGTGCCAACTGCTGGGTTGGTTTTTTTTTTTTTTTTATGGGAAAAAATAGTATAGCCGAGCGGCTGTACAGTGGTCCTTTTTTAAATTCCTTTTAATGAATAGTACAGCCGTGCGGCTATACGCTTTAGATACATAATGTGAATCTTTTTTTTTTTTTTTAATAATTATTTTTCCCCGATTTTTGTTTATCGATTAGAGTGGTTTAGAGCATTATTCATTACTATTAGGCCATTACCTAACTCTCTATTGTCTCCTTTTGAGTTTCTACTTTTTCAGAGTTATTACCCGCATAAAGAATTTAGCATTTTTGCTTTTAATACTCGTATTGTACACAGACATACATATTTTTCATGTTTAATACACTTGTTTTTTACATATTTTTCAATAATACACACAAAATACTCACATTTTATTGAATAAAAAATTTAAAAATTTAAATACTAATAAAATTCTATTTAGTACAGCCGTGCGGCTATACCTTTGAAATAATATACTCCTTGATTTCAACCTTGCCATGGTTAGGATACTCATGTTTCCCAGCTGTAGCAAACTTTTCTTCTGCTTTCCTTTTCATTGAAATAAAATGATCATGCTCAATCTCTATTTTCTTGTTTCGCAGGATTTACAGCAAAAGTACACAATTGGAAGTAAGTTGGTCTTTTAATTCTCAGCTATTATTTAGCTTTTAAAATGTACTGCCTGCATCTTATCTCGTTGCGATAGTGATTACTCTGGTCTGGGAAGTCACTGACCATGTTTCCCAATTGTTTCGATGTGCTTCCTTCCCCCACATAAAGATGCAAGGAAGCAGGCTAATGCTGGTCCCTTGAAAAAGTATCCTGACGGGGTGCTGGGAATATATTTAAAAGCCAAGGTGCTGCTGGCTCAGGTATAACCTCCACGAAGGATGTGACAAGTGTCAGGACTCCATCTACAGAAAGAGAAAGGGAACCTCTGCCATGCGTAGGAAGAAAAGAGTTGATCAGTCTGGTGCAGGATGCGATTCTTAGTCCAAACCAAGGTACAATAAAAACTCCTTGCCAGAGGAAAAGGATTGCTGCTACTCCAGGAAGGATTGAAAACAAAATCATCTATACAAGTCCAATGTCTCGGAATTTTATTGATATAGCTGTATGATATCACAATCATCGCAGGAATATAGAAGACATCGCAAAGTTAAAGGGCAGTGAAGATGTATGGAAAGTGGCCAAGCTACATGATCGTGAATCCTCCTTTCCAGTGGTATTTTTTTTAACTGCAGTTTTTTCTTTTTCTTTTCTTCTTCTTTTGACGTCGAATACTTTCTATCTTCAAATTAATTGCAGTTCTTTGCTGATCTCATATTCATACTCAGACAGAAAGATGCATTGCTATTTTTGTATCATCAGAAAAACGAGGGTGCTTTGAGTTTTATTCATGTTATCTACACCCAAAATGGTGGTCTGCACACCCTCATGTGAGGTTATTAACTTTTTAACTTCCTTGACATAAGAGTTGCCATTTAAGTTTTTGCTGCATTTTATTGATTGTTCAGGAGTAATGATATCAAATCCTCGCCATCAATGGAACTGCAAAGTTGGTGCAAGGCTCACACAAAAAGAGCCCAGTTTTTCAAGCTCATTCCAATATCACTCTTTGATCTTGTGGACAAGTGCCTGACAGTAAACCCAAGGCTGAGGATCGGCGCAGAGGAAGCTGTGAGGCACGAATTCTTTGCCTCGTGCCTTGAGAGCTTGAGGAGGCAGAAGATGTTCAGGCGTGAGGTTATGAGTACCCAGAATGATCTTCTTGTACATGAAGTAAAGTGTAATGTAGTTTTGATCAACATATTTGAACAATGAATTTCTGATAACAGTAGAAGAATATGAAGAAAATGAAGAAGAAAGAAGAAGAAGAATAATAAAGAAGAAGAAATCTGATGACTGTATATTGATTCTCGTTAACCATGATTACATTGTAATAGTACTTATATAGCAAACTAACAGACTCTCTTAACAACTAACAAACTCTCTTAACAACCAGACACGTGCCATATGGTTATATGGTTATCAATTTCATCACCAGTTCTTTGGCTTAAAAATTGTATAGTTCCCATAAATAAATAAAGTAAATAATTGCTTAGTTACGAAGTAAAAGCATGTCAAGTCAAATGCCAAACATTAAATTTTAGTTTGACGGAGTAAACTTGCCTTTAAAATTCCTCACCGCTATTCTTGCCCTCAATATTTTTTTATTTTTTTATTATTATGGCTTTTTGAAAAGCATCAATATGTAAATTTTTGAACATTCATTGTGTTGTTTCTTTTTTGATCTGATGGAGATAATACAACGCTTAACCAACTGAAAATGTAAATCTGACGGTTGAGTCATATACTGACAGACAGTATTAACAGCATAACAAAGATCAGGTCGAGTGAATGTCAAATATTGCAGTGCCCCAACAATACTCCTGTAGATGGTTGGATCAGATAAGGAGTTACCCTCCGAAGCCAAAAGCTGACAATGTGGCTTACATGGAGTAGTACAAGGTCGACATGTATCCATACCAACCTTTGCAAGTAAATCTCTAGCATATTTTGTTTGACATACAAAAATATCTCCATTATCATGATAAGAAATCTGCAATCCTAAGAAGTAGGTTAACCTCCCCATATCTTTCATTTCAAACACAGCACTTAATTCATCAATAACCTCTTGGACTAAACTATCTTTAGAACCAGTCAAGATGATATCATCAACATAGAGTAGAAGAATGACACTATCTGAACCAACATGCTTAACAAAGAGACTTGGATCAGAATGAGAAACAGTAAAACCAATGGCTGGAAGATGACCTGTGAACTTTGCATTCCAAGCTCTAGGTGCTTGCTTTAGCCCATAAAGAGATTTTCTCAATCGACAAACATAGGTTGGATATGCAGAATCTTCAAAACCTTGAGGTTGGCGCATAAACACTTCTTCTTCAAGATCACCATGAAGAAAAGCATTTTTCACATCAAGTTGTCGAAGAGACCACCTGTTCATAGCAGCAATACTCAAAACCAATCTAACTGTTGTATGCCTTACAACAGGACTAAAAGTCTCACTAAAATCTAGACCAGGAGCTTGACTAAAACCTTGTGCAACCAAGCGAGCCTTATGTCTTGCTACAGACCCATCTGAGTTCTTCTTGACTCTATAAACCCATCGGCTACCAACAATGTTTTTTATCCACAGGCATAGGAACTAAATCCCATGTACCTTGGGTGTGCAAAGCTTCAATTTCTTCCCTCATAGCCTGTATCCAAACAGAGGACTGAGAAGCAGCCTTATAGGTAGCTGGTTCAACAGCTTCATGAAAAGGTGGAATAGTAGTAAGATAGCATTGATAATCCTCAAATGGCTTAGTCTTGACAATACCACTCTTAGACCTTGTCTGCATATAATGCATAGGAGGAGGCATAGATGGTGAAGAAGATTCATGAGAAGGCAAAAGAGCTTGTAATTGTTGATCACTAAGAACCTGTAAATTGTCTGTAGGGTCTGCACCCGAAGCAATTAAAACTGAATCATCACCAAAAGATGCATAAACATGGGAAGGGACATCAGAGGAATGTGAGGAAGCAAGACTAGGATCTGAACTAGAAGCCAAGGAAGGCACATGATGTGAAACAGAAACTACAATAGGTGGAGCCTTGAAAGAAGATGGAGTACAAGAAGAAAGATTGCTAGATGGAGGTGAAGGCTCGGAGTGCCTAAAAGGAAAGACACTCTCATCATGAACCACATGTCTAGAGAGAAGGAAACGGTGAGTAGTAGTGTTATAGCATATAACACCCTTATAACCCTGAGAATATCCCATGAAAACACACTGTACAGTCCTAGATTGAAGTTTATGTTCATTAAATGGTCTAATATATGGATAAACAGCTGTGCCAAAGACTCGTAGATGTTGAAGAGGTGGAGGCTTAGCAAATAACTTCTGAAATGGAGACTGATTACCAAGAGCAATACTAGGCATGAAATTGATCAAGTAAGCAGCAAGTGCCATAGCATGATACCAAAATTGACTAGGAAGATTGGCTGTAACTGACAGAGTTAAGGCAGTTTCTATAACATGGCGATTCTTTCTCTCAGCAAGACCATTTTGCTGAGGAGTGGAAGGACAAGACAACTGGTGAATGATACCCTTTGAGTCAAGAAAAGAGGCAAATTGTGAACTATTAAACTCACCACCCCCATCACTTTGAAAATATTGAAGATGAGCACCAAATTGAGTACTAATAAAGGCATAGAACTTAAGAAAGATCTCAAAAACTCCAGATTTATTGAACAGTGGATAAAGCCACAGGAAACCAGTACATTCATCAACAAATGAGACATAATAGCGATATCCATCTATGGATTTATTTCTAGAGGGACCCCATACATCACTATGGATCCTCTGAAAGGCTATGTTAGACTTAATATGCTCACTAGGAAAAGGCAACCTATGCATTTTGCCGTGCAAGCAAGCAGAACATAGGGCAGAAACAGAATCAATAGAAACAGACACAGCAGAGGCTTGAAGCATTAGTTTCACAACTTCATTGGTTGGATGACCTAACCTTTAATGCCAAAGAGAGGACTTTATTTGTTGGCCAAGATAGGCAACTGGAGCAGAGGAAAAATAGGAGGCACGATTCAAGACAGAAGAGGCAGCTAGAGGAATGTGATAAAGACCCCGATTACTCTTGCCCTGAAGAACAATTTGCTTGGTGAGCTTGTCCTGTATGCAAAAACCAGAGGCATCAAAGGTGATAAGACAATTGTTATCTTGACACAATTGATGCACCGATAATAGATTGGCTTTAAGTTTGGGAACATGAAACACATTTGGCAAAGATAAAGCTTTGGTATTGGCACAAGAAATAGAGGTAGTGCCAAGATTAAGAATTTCCAAACCTTCCCCATTACCAACAGTGACATTCTCAGTCACATCACAAGAAGTGACATTATGCAGGTGAGAGGCATTGCCAACCATATAATGAGAAGCTCATGTGTCAACAATCCAAACTTGCTCTGGAGAATAAAAAGACTGAGCCGTCATAGCAGTTTAGGAAGATGGCGATGCTTGCCCTTGAAATGCATAGTTAGAGTGGTGATAACAATCCAAAGCAGCATGCCCTCGTTTGCCACAGATTTGGCACTCAACAATAGGTGAAGGAGCATCCGAAGAGGAAGCATTGCGATAATAACAGTTCGCCGTTGTATGACCACGTTTGCTGCATATTTGACATTCTGGCACAACTTTGTATGAACCAGAACCACCATAATTGGAAGAGGAAGCACCACGAAAACCAGATGAACGAAACTGAGATTGCTGATTCCGGCCGCCATTCAACCTGGCAATAAGCCTTGACCAGAAGCAACAGAAGAGGATTGAACACTAGAAGATGAATTCACAGCATACAGACCTGAGTGATGAACAATACGAGCCTCAGCAGTTTGCTCTGCAGCTAGGAGTTGAGAGCGAAAATCCTTAAGAGTGATTGGAGAATCACGAGCAATCAATACAGTCTTGATTATGGCATACTCTGGTGGTAAACCATTCAACGCAGCAATAACAAAATCATCATCGGAAATTCGCACATCAGCCGCACGCAATTGGTCACGAATGTGTTTAAGACGAAGCAAGAATCGCTCAATGGAGTCTCCACCTTTTTGAGCAGTCTGTAGTTCTGTTTTCAGATGATTAATTCTTGCTCGAGAAACAGAGGCATAGCGATCACAAAGATGAAGCCAAGCCTCTCTAGCTGTTTGACTCCCGATGACATACTCAAGTGCTTCATCTGACAAAGATGCAATGAGAAGACTCAAGAGTGCCTTGTCTGTGCGAATCCAGTCTTTATAGGCCGTAGTAACCTCAGAAGTAGTACCTTCTTCACCAACAATGGCGAATTTTGGAGGAGCAACAAAAGAACCATCGAAGTGGCCGAACAGATCGTAGCCCTGGAGTACCGACTCCAGTTGATAACTCCACTTCAAGAAGTTGTCATCGTTAAGCCGAATGGTAAGCATGCCCAAAAGGCCATCAATTTTGAGAGAGAAAGCCATGAAAGCAGAATTAGGGTTTCACAGAACGAAAATTTGTTTTGGAGAAAAATTGCAGAAAAATTGAGAGAACAGGATTTGAGATTGACAGAAGAAAGAAGCAGAGAAATAAGGAAGAATAGAATGCGGAAACGAAAAGACCTCAGAATCGAATCGAACCTAAGCTCGTGATACCATGATAACAGTAGAAGAATATGAAGAAAATGAAGAAGAAAGAAGAAGAAGAAGAATAAAGAAGAAGAAATCTGATGACTGTATATTGATTCTCGTTAACCATGATTACATTGTAATAGTACTTATATAGCAAACTAACAGACTCTCTTAACAACTAACAAACTCTCTTAACAACCAGACACGTGCCATATGGTTATATGGTTATCAATTTCATCACCAGTTCTTTGGCTTAAAAATTGTATAGTTCCCATAAATAAATAAAGTAAATAATTGCTTAGTTACGAAGTAAAAGCATGTCAAGTCAAATGCTAAACATCAAATTTTAGTTTGACGGAGTAAACTTGCCTTTAAAATTCCTCACCACTATTCTTGCCCTCAATATTTTTTTTTTTATTTATTATTATTAGTATTATTATTATTATGGCTTTTTGAAAAGCATCAATATGTAAATTTTTGAACATTCATTGTGTTGTTTCTTTTTTGATCTGATGGAGATAATACACAAGCAATTACTATCCAACGGGGGGAAGTAATAATCAGTACAAAGAAACAAACCAAAACTGTTTTCAAGGAAAATTTACACAGGTAGTGGATCAGACCACCTTCTTTTTACCTCCGACTTTGATCGGACCTCCTTGAGTTTCCCATCTACTCCATAATCCCTCTCCATAGCAAGGTTGATCCCTTCATCTGAGTACCATCCGACTCCAATGCAAAGGATGCCATCCTGGTTTACATCAACATAGGCCGTGACACCACCCGGAAGCCAAAGCATAGTCACATCTTGCATGTCTAGCATCTCTTCTTCTCCAAAGTAAGCTGGATTCCCCGGCAAGCTCCTCTTCTTTAGAGTTTCTGTGCAAAGATAAGACATACGGAGTACTATCGTTTTGCTCCATTACCATCTGGTCTATCTCCTCACCAAATACTGGAGTGCCACTGACCTCAAACACCTTCCATGACCCAGTCAGCTCTGATGGTCGGGTTCGTTTGCGCTGAGAAAATGGTTTCAAATCGAACTCCAGATCACTGTTTATGGTACAATAGGAATGAAATGAGTTCTCCAATGTCAATACAGATAACAAAAACACTGCTATAGTTTATAAGCAATGCAAACTCTAGAAAACCCTATGCTCTACAGAACTATGGGGCATGAGCCCCAATGACACATAAGGTTGCATAAGAACAAATTTTCCTCATGTGCAAACAAATGAGTTTTACAGATTATAAGTGCAAAACTATTTCTTTTATATCTGAAGTCTTTAGGACACTGAGTGCAAGAGGATACTATAGTTTTTCCAGAGATGTACTGAAAGAAAAAAAAATATATGTTTATTTCAAGTTTTATATCTCTCTTTCTTACTCCCTGTGGGGTATGATGCTATTACCATTGCATTAAGGTTTCCAGGACCTCTATGTCCTACTGGCAAAATGGAATTTCCATTAATGCATAAGTCACAAAAGAAATAAGATTTCAATTAGATTTGAAGGTAACAATATGCAAAATCTTTATGGCTGTTAGAGTGGTCCAAACAGAAACTTTTGAAATTCTGATGCACCAGTCCTACTGAAATTACAAGAAAATAACATAAAACACATTTACGTTCTGACGAAATAGTACCAATGCATTACAAGTTACAACTTAAAACATTATGTAGCAAACTCCAATGTGAAATAAACTTTAGCATAGGATACCTTGGGTCAGGAAGATTGGCAGGACTAACCCACTGTTCTTCATAAACAGCAACTCTCATTATCTGTATGCTTGAACCACCATTGCTGAATTCTATAGTATGAACGATACGTAGCCTCTTGTGGCAACCTTTAACCAAGCACTGGACAAGGAAAAATTAAGAAAATGAATAACTAGTTTTTAAGTTTCTCGTTGATTGAGGTGGGTGGGGGAAGTGGTAGGTCTTAGGTTACGATCTTATCATTTGTAAAAATAAAATAAAAAACAATCATCACAACATTTATAAACCCACATCAATACAATAATAAAAAAAAGTTTAAAATATTAATCAACATATTTTAGATTTCAAGACCTTTGTTCTGCAATTATCACATCTACTGTTCATTGGCATTTATGACTACATTTGTACATGCACTTTTATTACAGATCATGAAAGGAATTTAACAACCTCTATCTACATGCGACTTGGAAAGTGTCCAGTATATGCCATACAAAACTTACTTGTTCAAATTTGAAAGTTGGTGAAAGGTAATACTTAGAGTCATCATCTTCACCAACCGGGATATCAACGGGACCCCTAGAATAAGATCCATCATGCACATTATCAATCAGAAGATTAAATAGTTCCCATTAGTATTCAAGAAAAGATGGAGGATACTTTTGTCTATTGAAAACCATAAATGAAAAATTACAGGAAGCATTGATGGGAATTGAACCCATTGTAAAATTTGAAAGAGAGAGACCTATAATTTCTTTTCATGAACTGATATTCATGCTGTGGATGTTTCTAAGATAATATGGAAAGAACTGTTGTAAACTCTGGAGAAGCTATCTTTATAATGAACAAGATTCACATTTAACAGATTCAAGGAAAAATACTACACAAGTGCCTAGTCATACTGTATTTGTTCCAAAAGTTGAATATGCATTTTATCATATAGGCTAAATACTGATGATTTATGAAATCTCTAAATTGGCCAATTCAATCTAGGGCCTAGGAGAAAATTGTTTAACATCTCTAAATACTGTTGATTTATGAAATCTCTAAATTGGCCAATTCAACCTATGGAAATGTTTTTGCAAATACTTACTAATAAAACAGCAAGT